AGCACGTATACACTGACTGGAAGCAATGGCTCTGCAGGACTTCAGGTGGGATTCTTTCCTGGCTCTGCCTGGAGATGCCAGGAATTGAACCCAAGACCTTCTGAATGCAAAGCAGGGTCTCTTCCACTGAGCTCCATCCTGCTGGTGTTCCTCTTCCATGAAACACTGTGCTTAGGAAGTGCACAGTTGCTCCATTCAGCCCTGTGAGTCAGCCCAGAAAGCTGGACAGCTGCAACCAAGATACAAAGTGGATCCAAGAGGGCTGATATGTATTCAGCATCACAGCATTCAAATTCCAGGCTTCTGAGAATTCAGAATGGCATTAGTAATCTGCAAACAGACCTACAATTTCTACAGGAATATGAGTGACACTACCGATTAATAACAGACAACAGATGAAAGTCCCAGTACGATATCAGTGGTAGTAGTAGCCCATTAGCCCAGACTCAAAGCTGTTGATCAGGCTTGGTTCAGAACTGAAAGATGTTACTATATCACTACAGAAAGAAAAAAACATGAATGATATGAAGTAATACTGAGAAATACACATTTCCTTGGAATGTATCACTTCAGACAACAGTGGGAATTTCAAAGGCATGAAGAATCTTCTATATTTTAAAAAACTCAAGAACTAATACTACTGATATATGGAAGATGAGACAATATACAGAGGGATTCTGTCCTATTCTTTATCCTCACATGATAAGGTTCTAGTTGTAAACATTTTTGTCTCTAAAGAAGCATCCAAACATTTGTCAATGAAAAGATTTTATTTTCACAAAAAGTTGCTTACAAAAATAAGAAACATGGTCATCCTTGCTCACAGGCTTACAATCTCAAACAGCTATCACTAAAGAAAGGGTACTGGGAGGAAAGAGGAAAGAAAGCAATTCCAGGTCCTAAATTCTTGTTTACAGAGTTTACCAAACTAGAGGTTGAATCTAAAGATGGTTGGAAGGTCTGTTGCTTTCTCTTCCTCTGGAGTCCTCAGTAGGGCGGGGTGACTCCCCACTTGATGGGGGCTGCTTGAGTACCACTTCTTCTCCTTCTGAGGATCTCAGCCATGATGTTAGTAAGAGGGAGGGAAGCTCCTGGACAGAGCTGTATCTGGGCATGATGGAGAGGACCGGATTGTTTCGTGGTCACTTGCAAGAGTAACAGAGGCCAACTATGCTTTTGCCATCACAGCCATCATTTCTGTAGCTGTGCCTTTTGGGGATGATGGGAGTTGTAATCCAAGACATCTAGAAGGCTCACGATAGGGCAGACCACTATGCCCCATCATGGAGGGCTGAAGGGTGACACATGAGCAGCGGTTTGCACTTGTAATAGGTCTTTCAAAGAGCTCTTTTGCCTTCACTCTGTTTCCATCTGGGGTGTTGGCTTGAATCAAAAGAAAGTTGGCCATTTTCCTAAGGGTTATATAAACTGGCCCTGCTTTAAAGTCAGTAAGTGGGAGGTTTTCCACAGTGAGGACAATAAGTTATATGTGGCAACCTCAGGATTATGCCTACTGTTTTACATTGGTTTTGGATTTAATTCTTCATTAGCTGATGGGTAATGATCCTTGCAATTGTTAAAAAAAGAGATCTATGTGGCCTCAGTTAATACTAGAGAATTGCAGATGTCTGGGCTTAGAATAACAGCCTTTTTGATTGATTTGAATACCATTTGTGTTGTGTGGGAAAGTCAGAGTGTGTCACCCACATGAGCAGAGTTATTTCAAGGATCATGATGAATGGGCATTAATCACCCACTGCAAAGAATTAATTCTCAGAGATGTATTCCCAAAAGGACTCTTTAATTACCCACAACCATTAGGTTCGTTTTTAATGTACAAACTATCTGTGAAAGTAACATTTAAGCTGGGACATAGAGTATATTGATTAATTTGAGTGGTACTGCTGCTATGTATTTAGGCTTTGGTCTCATTCAGATGATATCAGAATAGTTTTTTCTTATTAAAATAAATAAATATGGTTTCCTGATTTTTACTGCCTGTCATATGGTTTTATATTTTATGAAACTTCTAAAATCACAGTCCTGTCATATGGTTTTATATTTTATGAAACTCCTAAAATCACAGTCTAAAATCATGTGTTAGCATCCCTGTATTTTATGCCTGTGAGTTATTCCCAACCATTGAATTTGCATGACATTTTGATGGCCTGCTGAAACTCAGTAACATTACTGTGGGATATTTTTCAGTGTGGTGTCCTTTCAGTGAGTCTTGTAGCCTGTTTGCAGAAACAATCTTCTTGTTAGAAGTGCCCCCACCCCAATTGCCTATGCTGTTTTCATAACCCTTGTGGTGGAATGAGAGTGGAATTTATTCCTAGAACATGGCATTTTTTTTAGTTCACAGCTTGTCACCAATTACTGGTGTTGTTACAATAATAACCATAATTGAATAAACAAACAACAATGAAAAGCATGAGTCTGCCCATGTTTATTTCTAAGAAAACAAAATCTGGATTGACTTTGACTCTTGAATGTTGGCACTGATAATGCTGAATGGAGACAATTACATAGTCAGTTACAGAAGGCTGCCAATTTTCATGCTAGGAGTTAGTTGGCTTGAAGATTAAACTATTTGAATCCTTATATTCAGAAAAGAATCAGCATTGTCGAAACCAACAAGTATATTTTTAGTCTTCACGATTAAACACAGACACATATTTGTGACTGAAGTGTGCCATGAAGTTCAAGAATGAAAATACTGTAACTGAAAATAATCAACTGAACAGAAGATTCTGGAAGTTTATTGCACTTTTGATAAGATAAAGATTGGAAAGCAGCCATATTGTTGTTTGTTTCTGCCAATAGAAGAGTGTTGCAAAAGTTCTAGATAGTTGTTTGCTGTTTAAGGGAGAGAAAGAGGCCTGTGGAAAAAGACTGGAGAAGTTGGAAATCTTCTGGAACATTCTAGAAAAGTGTGGCAATTTGTTTGAAGGGAATTTGGGCCAATGAACTTTTAAATGGACAAAAAGATATTCTGAAAAATTATTATTATATCATACTGGAACTTAAAGTGGGATGCAAAGGTTAAAATATGAAAATGACAAAAAATGGTAACATTGAGAATACAAAAAGCCAGAAAGCAACATAAATGAAAAAAATCAAGATGAGAAGAAAGTGAATTTATGTGGTGATGTTTTCTCGTAATGTAATAAATGTAGAAGCAGCAATCTCCAGAAAGTTTAAGCAAAGACAAAATCCAGTTATTTAGGATAAGCTGCTCTGTTGAAAGGGCAAGAAGGGGGATTTGAACAGCTCTTCTGCCAGTTACTCACCAGTGAAGGCTTGCTGTGAAAAAACAGAGTTGTTACTTCCCATTAGAGTCTGGGAAGCATTAATAGTTTGAATGGGCATTCCACTACACAAGGGTAGCAGAGTATTTCAAGGTCACACTTGGTTCCTCATTTGAAAGTTCTTAAATGAATCTAACTTGAATGAATCTAAATTGTTTTTTCATTTTGGCACTTTTCATGTGAATGAAATTATTATATACACATATTAGGTAATGCATATGTTTATGATCCCCTAAAGATGGGTCAACGCAACCCTAACTCTGTTGAAACGGAAAGCAATGGTTTTATCTATACAAGCAGCATGCACAATGATGTTGATGTTCCATTCAAAACATAAGCTTTCCAAATGGCACTATTAAGCCATCTGTGTTCCTTGGCTTCAGACAAATGAAAAATCTCTCTTAAACAACTGCTGGTGTGTGTATGTGTGGAGGTAAGTAGTATGTTTAAAATAAAAAGTAATACCTAACCAAGTGTCTGCATGGCTTGTAAGTAAATGTTTACTATTCGTAAAAGCTGTTATATTTTGGCTGTGGAGTTGTCTTAAATGCATATGTTTACACCAGATCTTTCTCATGAATCAGGTAGTGCGTATTTTTTTAACTGGAGGGGAATGGACGTTGTGTGGTTCATATGAATCGTGTTCACGGTCGGTAAGAAACAAGAAGGCAAATCTATGTATTTATTCCTATACTCTCCAATCCCTGGGTCAGAAGGGGGGCACCAATCGTTAACATAAAAAATAATTATTGATAATGACCTCAATTTGCTTAAAAATTATTATTATAACCCAGACCACACAAGAGAAACATGAAGCACTTCTAGAGAATAGTAAGATTCAGACTTTGGTGCCCTTCTGTAAACGGAATTCCACAGCTGTGGGGCCATTTGCCTTTACTTGAGTGCACAGAAAGGATAACATAGAATGTGGGTGGTCATTCGCAAAGATCAAGAGGCCTTCGAGGCGGGACTGTTCATGCAGTCTTCCCCAAGTCCTTTACACCAAACGTTTTTCCATATATACCAAACTGGGACTCCTGCCTTATCGAAAACTCCTTTAAGGTTTATAGAAGTATGCCCTCTGACGCCGCAATCAGCAGCGTAATCCTATACAAATACACTCAGAAATAAATCCAATTGAGTTCAGAGGGGGTTATTCCCAATTTGAGGTAGTCTCAAACGATTTAATTCCAACCGGCAGAAGGCAGCGGTGAGACCCAGAGAAGCTCGAGGCAGCTAGATGGCCCTTACTAAAACTCTTAGGAGTGTATAGGCATAGAAAACAGTAGGTAGGAAGGGGAACTACGTGGGGCTTTGTGTGCGTGTGCGCGCGCTGTGAATATTGTACACCAGGTGCCCCTTAACCTCCGCTGGAAGGCCGGGCTGGGACAGGAGCCCCAGCAAGAGACGCAGAACGTGCCTTCGCCGCAACCCGTTTCCTGCTTCGGGGGAGGGGAAGGGAAGGAAAGGGGCGGGGCTCTTGTGCGCCTCCGAAGTAACTTCGCTGTGCGGCCCGCTCGATGACGCGCGCTTTCGGCTTGGGAGTGTCTGTTTGGCTGTTCGCCAAGTGACGTCTTCCCCCGAAGGGCGGTCACGTGACAGACCTCATTCACAAGAACGGGGATGGGTTAAAAAAAAAAAAAACCTAACTGACTGGTATATAAGGCCAGCTTGCGCCGTTGCGAGAACAAGCTAGCAAAGCGGTTAACAGACTAACGAGAAACGGCGGCAGCGCCAATAAGAGCAAAGCCCCAACAAGTACTAATCGCCGCTGCCGCCGCCGCTTCTTCAGATCCAGGCACCTTTGGGATACAGACACGGGGAATAAGTAACAAGGCTTGCTTGTCCTTGGGTCGGAGAACGGACCCATCCACAGGAGACAAAAGAGGAGTCCCCCAGCAGCGGCGCTGGTGGTGGACCCTTTCGTCGCTTTTCGCGCAGCGGCTGCCCCGAGCGATGGTCAACATGCAAGTGTGCGCCCTGGATTGCGAGGCGCTGCGCGGGCTGCTCGAAGACCGTGCCTTGCAGTGCCTGGTGCTGGACTGCCGCTCCTTCTTCTCGTTTAACTCGTCACACGTCGGCGGCTCCTGCAACGTCCGACTCAGCACTATTGTCCGGCGGCGGGCCAAGGGCGCTATGGGCTTGGAACACATTATCCCCAACGAGGAGGTGCGCTCCCGCCTGCTCAGGGGCTTCTACCACGCCGTGGTGATGCTGGACGAACGCAGCGCCGACCTGGAGGCGCCCAAGAGGGATAGCACCCTCTTGCTGGCTCTGAACACGCTCTGCAGGGAAGCCCGGGACACCCGCATCTACTTCCTCAAGGGTGAGTGTTGACCCAGAAGGAGATCTCCTTGTCCCTGGGAAGCCATCCGCCCGCTCCCCTCCCGTGGGTCACAGAAGTGGGGTCCCTATAACCAAGGCACCCACGAGGGATCACAGATAGGCAGGAATAGATCGACGCTGACAAACATCGTGGCCAGTTGCAGTCCAGGTTAAATCTTCTAAAGAAAGTGGGAATCGGCCCCAACCATGTGTGTGTTTAACAACACTGTTGCTCTAGGGAGATTCCCCGCTTTCCCACCTTCCTCTCCTTCTGAAAAGCCATCTAAAATTTGCTCCTCTGATAATATTAATAATCGTGTTTTGGTTTTTTATCTTCTTCCAGGAGGATATGATGCCTTCTCTTCTGCCTCCCCTGAACTGTGTACAAAGCCATCTGCTCCGAAGGGCCTGACCCTGCCGCTCAGCACCAACAATGTGCCTGGCAGTGCAGATTCAAACTGCAGCTCTTGTGGGACTCCTCTCTATGATCAGGTCAGTTGAAAAGTAGTCATGAACCAAATAATATTTTGGACCCCGCCAACTGTCTGAAAGGGGGGCACAAGGCAGAAATCTGTTTAGTCTAGTGGGAAAGAAGATACTTCAAACAAACTTATTGATATAATGGAGAGCAATTGTATTGAGACAGTGAAAAAGACTTATTTTTGTGGTAGAATTAATGGAGTATGTTCCTTTCTTTTCTCTATTTCAGGGTGGTCCAGTGGAAATCTTACCTTTCTTGTACTTGGGCAGTGCCTATCATGCTTCCAGGAAAGATATGCTAGATGCTTTGGGGATCACGGCCTTGATAAATGTTTCTGCCAACTGCCCAAACCATTTTGAGGGACACTACCAGTACAAAAGCATCCCTGTGGAGGACAACCACAAAGCTGATATCAGCTGCTGGTTTAATGAGGCAATTGACTTCATAGGTAAGTTTAAATGTTCTCTCTGAAGATTCCATGATGAAGTGACAAGTTTAGAATAGCACCAGTCAAAATGAATCTGTAGCCACGTTGGCTACAGCTTGTGCTATCTTGGAGGATAGCTTTATGAAATGCCAGTGACATCCCAGACATTATAAAGAGTCATAGAATAGTAGAGTCAGAAGGGGCCAAGAAGGCCATCGGGTCCAACCCCCTGCTGCTGCAGGACACCAAGTCACACCATCCCACTCAGATGACTGTCCAGTTTTGCCTTGAATGTCTCCACTGTGGGAGAGCCCACCGCCTCTCTTGGCAACTGCTTCCACTCTCGTATTCTCTGACAGTGGGGAAGCTTTTCCTGGGGTTTAGCCTGAATCCAGTGACATGAGTGTTGCAGACTCCAGTAAGCTGAGCCAATCTCATGCCAGCAGCATTTTCCAATTTAGTTCTTTAAGATGGAACGAGTGGCCAGTTAGAGCTGATTATCGTATCACCTTGGAGTTGAGATGGACCATCCATCCCCAGTGACAGACTGCCTTCCCTTGGGTATCCATCCCCAGTCAAGAGCTGTGCTGCAGAGGGCCTGCTAAGCTTGGCCTTTATGTACAGAGAGGAAATAGCAAAGTATGTTAGAAGCTTTGCACGAGAATGCTTGCTGAGTTTAATGTTTCCCTTGTTCACGTTTCAGACTCTGTCAAAAATGACGGTGGGCGTGTGTTTGTTCACTGCCAAGCCGGTATCTCCCGCTCTGCAACAATTTGCCTTGCTTACCTTATGAGGACTAACCGAGTCAAACTGGACGAAGCCTTTGAGTTTGTGAAGCAGAGAAGGAGTATCATCTCCCCCAACTTCAGCTTCATGGGGCAACTGCTGCAGTTTGAGTCCCAGGTCCTTGCTCCAAACTGTTCAGCAGAGGCTGGGAGCCCTGCCATGGCTGCCTTGGACAGAGGAGCAGCCACCACGACTGTCTTTAACTTCCCAGTCTCCATCCCTGTTCACTCTTCTTCGAGTGCACTAAGCTACCTTCAGAGTCCCATCACCACATCGCCAAGTTGCTGAAAGGCAGGTGTGAGCAGAGCTTCTGTACACAAAGACTTGACACTCTTGCTGTCACCTAACAAGTGCAATAACTTTGGGGAGGGGCAGGTTTATTAGCTTGCATGGGTCTCCCTTTCATTGCAGCTATGGAGCAATACAAAATCACCAGCACAGAATGATGTATCTGACTCCAGAAAGCAAGGCTCTTTCTGCTAGATGATCCTGGCTGAGATGCATTTTTTGACCAATGCTTGGATGCCTATACAAAGGAGACGAAGTATATGGGACACTGCTTTCTACTCCTGAAATAGTCTTCTTACAGTTTTCTGTCTGTGTCAGTCTGTTTCAGTAGCAAATACGACAGTATTCTCATTCCTGGGTGTGCTGGGTTACAGTAACACTTCCCTTGTACATGAAAGGTCCTGATATTTATTTTTTTGTAATGGTGTTCTTGCATTGCGTGTTTTGCGTTTTTAAGTCTGAAGTTTCATTTCTTTTTCAAAGAAACAAATACCTCACAATTTTTTGGGTACTGTAATCCTGTAAATACTTCTTTAAAAACTGATTCTGAAGCACTGACATGAAAAGCACAAAGGAATATTTGTGTTTTTTAGGTTGCCAACATTTGTATGTTTGCTGATTTATTTATGATGTGAAATAATATATTTCTTCCTTTTTGAAGGAAGACATGGGTTTTGTTATGATTATGCCTTTTTATACAAACCAAATAAATTATGACATTTCTATAGAAGGAAAACATTCATTCCTTTTTTTTAAGTCTTTTGATATGCTGAAAAATGAAATGGTAAGTCCTGAAAGAAGACATCCTGTTCATATTGACAGGCTATTGACAGCGCAAGGGCTGACAGGCATCCAGCTACTTATATAACCCCAAATAGTTCTGTGCCACAATCCAGTGAAAAATCGAGGTGCAGAAAAAGAAAACTCAATTGCATGCTGCAAATGGATACTCTACTGGAGCAAAATGCATGTGCTCAGAATACAGACAGGGCTGTCAGCACTGACTACTTGGAACAGCCCTTGAGTGGAAAGAGGAGGAAGTGGGGTCCTTGGATTGCATCTGGTACCACCTCACTCCTGCAATAGGTAATCTACCTTGTTAACTCAGCTAGTGCTCATCTGAAAATGATGAGAGTTTATGGGGGTGAAGGAGAGAGCATCCTTGATTATAGCAAATGACACTTCATTTTCTTCCTGGGGATTGGTTTGGATTAGGAAACTCAACCCCTGCAACACAAGAAAGTGGCACATCCATTACATCATCAGAAAGCTAGATATTAGTCTGTTAGTGAGCCAAGAAAAAGAATAGTGCTTTATATGGGACAAGTTCTGTTTTGTCCATCCCCTCGCACACACCCATAGATACTGTTGGAATAGGATTGTAATTAGTTACTTGCTCAATCAGTGGGGGTGAGTAAAATTTGCCTCGGGAAATTCTTACCAGCTCTGCTTAATGCTGGTTCACTTGGTGAAGGAGATGGTCCCCTCTCCTGGACTGAGGCTAGAATCCTGAGGCACGATAGAATCCAGTCCCTCCTAACAACTTTACTTCAGCTCCCATCAGCCCTGAATGTTGATCCTGCTAAGACTGGGCCTTGTGGGATTGTACAAGGATGCTGGGTTGGCTATCCCAGGTTATAATTCTAGGAAGGGGGAAAAAAGAGGCCTTCATAGGCCCTGGGCCATGGAAATATAGGAGGCCAAACCATGGATTAAATTTTTAAATTCTTTTAAATGCCCTTTTTATGGCTGCTTTGCCTTTGAAGGAAAAGCAGTTGCCCAAGGCCCTTTTCTGGTTAGGGGCCCTGCGCAGTAAGTCACTGTTGTTCCCATTTCACAGATGAGAGGACAAATGATAGCAATGTCTTAAGAGCAATGAAGAGGTGTGCTTGGTTTACCAGTCTCCCTGTGCCCCAAAGTTTTAGTTTTAAAAGTTAACTCACCAGGCCCTATCCTATTGGTCTCACAGCCGATGCTCATAAGCCTTGCCCCCAGTGCAAGGTTAGGCAGTAGTGATCGCCACTGCTGCCAGACCCTGCATCCTGCCTTCAATGTAGAGGGCTGTTTTGAAGCATCTTGATTTCGGACCAGCATGGGGAAGGGAAGAAGGCTGGGGTGACAACTGGAAAAGGCACGATTTCACAGTCCCAGCCTCCTCTCCCCCAGCACACCCTCCTTTTTCCCTTTTGAGGCCCAGGTGTGATGCTGGAAGGGGAGCATCGACAGCAGTTCTTTCTGTGCTGGCTGCAAGGGGCAGAGTAGGCCAGGAGCTTGGCCTTTGGAGCCTGAGCACTAACGTGGGAGGACCTTGGTGCTCGCACTCCAGAAAATCCTATGGTCCCCCTCACAGTGTCAGGATGCCGTAAGATTGCACCCTGGGGCATGTCAGTGCATGCAACATAATATAGTGCAAGATCTGGTAAATGCTATTGGGTAGATACACTTAAATAACAGGAATTTCTATAGGAATTACCAGTGCATAACTGTATCATAGCCAACATGTCATGCACTGGAATTATTCATCAGTCATTATCATGAATGTAGGTATCTTTGAATGGTAGGTGTTTTACAATCGTTTTAATTAGCTCCATTCTACCGATGGCAACTGAAGTTGAGAAAATGACAACATAGCTAATCTGGGATTTGATCCCAACCAGTTTTAAATTCAAGGTGAGTGCCCTGGCCAATGGACTGAACTGCTTTTTTGTATGCTGTCAGAGATTTATAGCATGAGACTCACTCTTTCCTTCCTCTCTGGAATAATTTATTCTGTTAACTGTGCTAAAAAAGAAGAGCAGCAAGAATGCTATTTTAGCTGCATGTCTTTCAAAGTCTGGCGGCTCATTTTTTGCCTTTCTCTGTCTTGCAGGAAATGCAATTGCACAGGTGCTGCTAGGAGATCTTTATATCCCAGTGAATCTGCCAGAAAGCTACTAAGCAGTAAATCAAGGCCTGAAATCCAAGGTGAATTATAACTACTAGGTAAGCTTTTCAGGGTTGTGGGGCTGACAGGACTACCCACTGTGAAGTATTTTTATCTCTGCATAATTGTAGTTTTCTTTGGAGAGCGTACCCCTGGTTAGAAAGCTTTGTGACCATTTCCATATATTCCCAATTATACAGGTAAAAACAGATGACAATGATATACACCCCCCTCCCAAAGAAGGTCTAAAAGAAGATTATGCCAAATAACCAAAGATCCCTAACATTCACTCGTTCTGTAAGACTGAAATATAATATTCACCAAAAATGTTTCTATATCCTCTTTCAGTAGCAATTTCCCCAATTTTGACTGGGGAGCCTTGAACTCAAATCCCCATCCAGCCATAGCCTCCCTGAATGAGTTTGATCTAGTCGCTATGGGGGTGTTCATATATCAAAAAAGTCATCCTGAAAATAAGCCATGATGGGTGGGTTGGTGGCTTGTCCATTATATCGAAAAAATGATTGCCTGTTTAGCAGCTTGCCATAGCTTGTTTCTTCCTCAGTCCCTTACAGTCCTCCCAGCTGCTGTTGGCACGTATTTCAGTGGCCTAGGTGGTAAAAATCCTCATTTCCTAGTTTCCTACATCAGCACCCATCCTGCAGCTGGTCTTCTAGGTTTACCAGAAGGAAAACACCTCTCCCTGATTTAGAACACTAAAGGGATGTTAATTTCTAAGTCTTTAGGAACATGGGAATAAACTTTATTTTTTCATGGCTCTTGCACAAGCATGTAGGACTGCCTGTCCACTATTGACCAAAGTTTTGTCATATCCTCTTCTCAATAATGTCCTTATCAATGTCACCTTCCACTTCAGCCCTTCCTGAGTGGACTCCGCATCACAAGCACAATGTCACACCATAAAACTGAAAAAAATTCCTGAGTTCCTATGAATGTGGAAGTGCATTTGAAATTTGATTTTTCAGGGTCTTGTGCAAGAGTGCCTGTCTGCATAGCCATGTCCTTTTCTTGTCAATGTCCTTGTCAAATTTATCCACCAGTTTTGCAGTTTCCTTACTAGCAAAACCCATTTTAAAAGGCTGTTTTTTTATTGTTGTAAAGTTAATATATCTGCCCCTAAAACACCTTTTCCCCTGTGCCTGACAGTCTCTTCCAGCTCCCACCCCATTCCACTCTTGTCACTGACTTGTTGACTCTGTTGATGTGCCCCAGGGTTACAGAGCAGTGAAGGACTGCTAAACATATGCACATTTCAAGGTAAAGAAAGGACTGGGTGGGTAAACATACACAAATTTCAAGGCAGACAAGTGAGATTATCCACATGACCCTACTTAGGCTTTAAGATCAGCATCAAAGGCACTGTTTTGACCATCTTTAGCAGTGAGCCTATACTGAGAACAGGTCTCCTCAGTGGTAGGTCCACATTTATGGAATTCTCTGCTGGGGGGTGGGGGGATGTGAACCAACAAACTCTCTTTTCAGTTTTAGTAAATGCTTGAAAGTATTTTGTCACTGACTCTGTCCTTTTCATTTTGTTCTCCTGATTTTTATGCTGCTGTGTATTTTAATGTTTTTGTCTTACTTGTGTTTTGTTCTTGCTTTTAAAGTAAGCTGCTTAGGGAAATTGCGTTGAAAGGTGGGGTAAACAAAAAAGGAAGTCCATTGTAGGCATTAATGCTTCATGGTATTGTTTCCTTCCACAATCCACCCTGTCTCCCTGTTTCTTATGTAAGAACTATTTCTGTTTGTGTATGATGAGATCCAAGCTTTAAATCCAAGCTCACTCAGTGGAAAAATACAGTGTTGGCAACTTCAGTATTATGTCAGATTTAAAAGAAGATTCCTCCTGTTTAATTTAATTTCCACTGGAATGCCATTCCCTGAGGCATTGCAAAAATTTGCTTTATGTATTTCACTGCAGAGAATTCATTTCCTGGCAGCCAGTCAACTTTACAATCTAACTGGGTGAAAAGAACCATTCTGGGTACAATTTTATGTTCCTAAACAAACCCATTTCAGCTGATTGCAACTTGTGTCCCTGAACACTATCTGTGTTTAGTGATTTATTAAAGAGGAGGAAACCAAGGTTATTTTCATCAAAGTTCTTTCCTGATTCTAAAAGTTCCTGTAATGTATACATACACTGTATAAACCCTCTAGCTTGCTCTGCCTATATCAATTGGCTGCATTGATACAGCTTTGGCAGCTTATTTAACACTTTTTGATTGGGGTGTTCAACAGCTACTCGAATTATCTTTAATGAGCCTTCTCATTTCCTCACAAGTCTGTGTGTGTAACTTTAAGGTTATATAAATCTGTAATTACACAGTTGCCTATATCCCCATGGAAACCACTAGGAGTTTCCCTTTTGTGAGGAAGGCAATAACATCACTTCCTGCTGCTGACAGAACAGTTTGTCATGAAGTGGTAAAAAAGGCTTGCTGGTGCAGACAGGAACTTGCTCCAGGATTAGCTGGTTACCATGCCGTGCTACAAATACACACACGACTTTACAGTAAGCTGACAGGGGAAGGGGCTAGAGGGGAAAGTGCCATTTGAGTGTAAATAAGCAAGCAGTGCTTTTGGCACACACAGAGACACAAGGCTAGTGAATGGCAAAAACACTCCAATGACCCAGGAATTACAGTATAGAAATCAACACCAACTTGTGGTGCAGATGGGATTCCCACAGGACCCCAACTGAACACTTGCCATATACACATTGGGGGAGTGGGGCAGTGCCTAGACCACCTGTGCTCTGCGTTAAGTGTTGCAATATCTTCTATTAACAC